TATAGTGATGCTCTATACTGTTGTTGTTGTTTTTTCTGTTAACCTACACATTTTTATATTTATGTGTTTGTTTCATTCATGTATCAATATCTCCTAGTGAGTTCCCCTGTGGCATACCTGGCTCTCCCCCTCCCCTTGTTCACACTTTATCTAGACAACAAGCCTGTGAAGTAGGTCAGGCTGACAGAAAGAATGATTGGCCTAAGGCCACCCAATGAGTTTCATGGTCCAGTGGGGGGCTAGAAACGGAATATCGCAAATCCCAGTCTGTCACACTAATCTCTATCTCAGCAGCTCTCTGTATATTTGTTTATATATCTGTTAGTAGAATACTGAAAATACTGAAAAGTGTAAATATAGAAAAACAATCGTGTTCCAGTTCACATACTGGAGTGCACATCTAGTAAGTTCTAATCAAAATGCCAATGGTACAAAATCTCTCCTACCCAGCCCCCATCATAGGGAAATGGAGGAAAACTAGGGGCCCAGCTCCAGAGGAGAAAGGTACAATGTAGTTTTATAGAGGCAGCAAAACTGCAACGTTTCATAGGAGCAGCTAAACTGACCATTGCTTATTTGAACACATTCTCACAGCAGGAATATGCTCTCCCTGTAGAAGGCTAACACATCAGGACATTTAGGTTTATTCCAGCTTTTCAGGGTACTTTTTTATATCGGGGAGTTTTAGACGAGGAATCATTCAAACACAGCTCAGGTAAATAAATTGATATGCACAGCACAAGAGAAAAAGAAGTATGGAAAATGCATAAGTGTATACTGGCTGCCACATTTACTATGACATTTACTATGTGGAACTCCCTCCCACAAGAGGCCAAGTTGGGCCTGTCTTTGTTGTCCTTCTGCAAGCAAGCACAAGTCTTTCTTTTCAAGCTAGATTAGGCATCCTTCCGCCTCAAGAGACAATGGTAACGTGGTCTGAAGAGAAGACTTTGAACAGCGTCTATTGTGGATGAGAAGGCCTATTCAAGAGTGACAATCCCTTCCACACTGAGGTCAGATATAATCTGTTCCCTATCCAGCTCCCTGATTTTACTGGTTTCGGGACTGCCTCTTTGCCTCGGCCTGCTGGACAAGGATCTCTTCAAATTGGGAGAGGCTGTGATGCACCGCCTGCCACCAGGCTGAACACTCAGATGTCAGGGTTTCCCATCTGTTGAGGTCCATTCCTAAGGCCTTCAGATCCCGCTTGCAGATATCCTTGTATTGCAGCTGTGGTCTCCCTCTGGGGTGATTTCCCTGCACTAATTCTCTATACAGGAGATCTTTTGGAATCCGACCATCAGCCATTCTCACGACATGCCCGAGCCAATGTAGACATTGCTGTTTCAGTAATGTATACATGCTAAAAAGTAATGTATAGATTGCTTTTCAAGCAAGCTTTTCCTTAATGAATGGCTGCCTGGGTGGGATTCTTAAATGGATTGTTGTGCCTTACTGCGTTGAATATGTTTTTGATTTGTTGCTGTTTACCGTCTTTTGGTGTGGCATTTGTTTGATCCACTTTATACTGTATTTCTATACTTAGTAGCTTTAACTTTCAATATTGTATATTTAATGATACAAGCCACCTTGAGACCTTCTTAAGAAGATTTGCAGGATAAAAATATTTTAAATAAATAGATAAATTGTCCAAATCTCATGAGAAACAAAACATTTTTTTCTCAGAGAGGTAAGAACAACCATTCCAAATGATAATCGAATACAGAGAAACAGCTGCAAAGCTGGATCAGACCAAAGACCTGCCTGGCTCCATCAGTTTTCCTCCTTCAGAGCTCTTGTATTTATTTATTTTATTTATTTATTTTATTTATATCCCGCCTATCTGGTCGGGTGAGGACCACTCT